TGCAGAGGTAAAGATCCTCAAAACAGGGATCTTTCCCCATGGAAGTTTCAGTTCTCTTTATCCCCACATGCACCTGAAAGCGCTGACTCTGGAGAATAGTGAAAACGAAGTATATTTATAACCATTTTAATACGTCTGACTGTTAAGTTAATTATGATTCATAATTCTTCCACTGGGTTTTCAAGACTGTAAATCTCAACCAGAGGAGACCGTACATCTTTCTTCTGTGGAATGACTGCGATTTAAATTGCCAACTTTTCAGTAGTATCCCAACAATTAACATTTTAGGGTGGTTATATTTATATGGACAGATCATCAGCTGATATGAAGTTTATTTTGTTTCTGACTCATAATGACCCCATTTGTGCAGAGGAGACCTGCTTCATAGTTTTTGATGGTACAAACTTCAGGAAGCAGCTTGACAGGCTTTTCTTCTGAACCATCTCTGTGTGTGATCAAACTTTTGGCCAGCAGTCAAATGTTTACCTGTGTGTACTGCTCAGGGATTCTAAAGCATAAACATGGTGGCAGAACCATGGTTCTTTTTATAATCAGCTGTGGTGGTGTTGTGTACCATAGACTCAGAACTAACTCATAGCTAACATTCAAATGAGTTTTCAGAGGCCATAAATTGCATTTGGGAAGATTGCCCATCTTTCTGCCTCACAGCATCTGGTGGATATGAACCACATACTGTTGGCCTAAAAGTGCAATCCCTTACTGCTAAGTCACCAGAACCCCCGTTAGGAAATAGTAATTGAATAAAATATATTTGCCATTCTATCATAGGTAATGGATAATATCCAGCCTAGAACTTACTGTGTTTTCCCAGATTATGATGAAAAGGTATAGAACTATGAGAAATCACATGTTTAGATGAAAACTAATAGTCTCACAAGGGGAATTTGGATGTGTGTCATAATATTTTTTTTATTTTAGTAATGAATCTTTTATTACTGTTCAAATTCAACTCATTGCTGTCCAGCTATCACTGAGACATAGCTAACCCAATATATACTGATGTATCACCTATACACTTCATAATGTTGGGTTGTTGTATTTTTTTTAAAACAAAATCTTTACAAGTTAGGCTAACTTTATGTTTTATGCACCTATGTGCAGTGCAAGCTCCAGTACGGTATTTCCTTACTTTAGAACTCTATTCTCTTCCAGAGCTGTGATTTTTTTTTCTTTTTTAACCCTGGTGCCAATGCCACAGCTTCATAATTACTACAGCATTATGACAATAACTCTCATTGCCTTCCAGTAAGAACTGATTTATAACTGACTCTCCAGGAAGTTCTCAATGCTGTAAATTACCTCAGAGGAGGATGCCTGCCTATCTCTTGAGTAGCTGCTGGTGGATTTCAATCACCAGAGATGTGTGGCCTTTGGGTTAGCAGTGCCACCACTTATGGACTAGCTCACTAAAACACCATTGCAGTATAATAACAGTTTTTAAGGATAAATCTTCTCATTATATTTTTGTTTATCAAGATTTTGTGAGCTATATTGACCTTTGTACTCAATAAAAATTTTAGTAACCATTGTTAAATCAACACATAAAGAATAAAAACCAATATATTTGGAGTTATGATTTAATTGAAATCAGAGATCTGGATTAATTAGATTACTCATAATATCAGAACTCCAATTCATAAACATGAATCTATCTAACCATTTATTTCCATCTTATTCAGTCATCTTCATGGAAATTTTGTACTTTTCTTTATGAAATTCTTAGTCATAAATATTTTAAATCATTTGAAGCTACGATAAATTGGAACTTCTTTACATTGCATCTGCTATGAGTTTGTTAAACGAGCTCTGGTGGCCAGTGGGCAAGGAATTGTGCTGACAACCCAAAGCCTTGTAATTTGAACCCACCAACTGCTCCACAGGAGAGAGATGGGCAATCTCTTCCCAAGTGATTCACAATTTCTGAAAACCTGGTGGAGGGTCAACTCTGAGTCAATTCTGACTCTAAGACACATAACAACAACACAACAACATGAGTTTGTTGAAGTATAAAAAATGCAATGGATTTTTTAAATACCTTTTTTTTTTAACCAGAATGCTTTTGGAAACTTTTTCAATGTTGTTGTTGTTAGGGACCATCAAATTGACTACAACTCATATCAACCCTATGAACAACAGATTTGACTATTGCTCTACCTTGTACCACCCTCATGCTTCCTGTCATGCTCAAGTCCATAGAGGCAGTTACTTTGTCAATCCATCTTGTTGACGGTTTTCTACTCTTGCACTGAAGTTTCTGCTGGGAAATAGTTACTCAACGGTTTTAATAAGTTATCTGCAGTTTCCATTTAATTTGTATATATACAATCTCATCAAGTATAAGAATGTTCATATTATTTCACCCTTTTCAATCCTGAAAGTTTTTATTTCTTTTTCTTGCCTCTGTGGGCTGGTTTTAGTATTCAGTACAATGTTGAAGATAAGTGGATAAAGCTATTATCTTTATTTTGTCCCTAATCATAAAAAGAATCCTCAATATCCTAAAGTGATCTTAAGAGAACCCCTTCAATAACTCACCACGAAGTGTGCTATTTGTTGTAGAATTGCTGTGCAGGTGTTTTATTGAGCACTTTGATGGCTAGTACTTGGAAAGCTGCACTGTTAACATAAAGGTAGGATGGCTTCGACATATTAAATCCAGAGGCTCCTCTGGAGAAAGACAGGCAGTCTCTTCACATTGTTACTTATAGCCTTGGAAATTGATGGAAAGTTGCTAAAGTAACAGACATGAACAAACTTTTTTTAATCATTTGTACTTCTCATAAGTAGATACTGAGTTTTGTAATTTTTTAAAATGAATTTGCAGCTATTGAAATGGTTGTATGATTCTTCTCTCCTTTAAATGATTTATTTAGGTAAATATGTAACTGGAGTGTTTTAACGTTAAACTAATTTTGCACTCTGAAACAAAACCAACTTGGTCCTATACTAATTTTAGACAGGGATAAATTTGGCTCGATAATATTTGTTTAAGGAATTTATAGTTATGTCTATGATTGCGAGTACCTGGTTAAATTTGGTGTCATGATAATCTAGCTTCATATAATAAATTGGGAAGTAATGTCTCTTTTTCTGTTAAACTATTTTGTTTAGTACTGCAATTCATTTTGCCTTGAACGTGTCATGGTCCTTATTTGGTAAAAGTCATTGCCTTTTGCTTATTTGTGGATTAAAAAAGCCCCCTACCTCTATTTTTAAAACAAATCAAAGCACTTTTCATGCTTTCTACTTCTTGATTCAGTATTAATGATTTTTTTAGGACTTTGTCTATCATCAAAGTTCACAAAAGTACTAGGACAATGTTGTTCATGATGTTACTTTGCGATGATCTTATATCTAAAACTCCCGTAGTTGCGTTCCTTTATTAACTCAGGTTAACTTGCTTAATGGCCATTGAGTCGGAAACAATTCGTAGCTAGTCCTCCATTGGATTGGAGTGGTTGTAAATCACCTAAAAGGAAACAGCCCAATTTCCCTCAGAGTTTCTGGTAGATTTGAACCTCCAGAGAGGTGCAGCCTTTGTGTTAACAGCACAACTCCTTATGAACTATGGTAACAGAGCTCATCAATTAAAAATGGAATTTATTTATAACTCATTTAATTTTTTTTTTGGTCAGATTCATTAGCGGCTTACCTTTACCATTATGAACATTTTCTAATTTATTCTTCTTTTATATATTAGTATCTGCTTTGTATTATGTTATGTTATTCTACTGTTTAAAAAAGTCTTATTTTTGTAACTTCTTTGAGTACATAAATTAAAAAATATTAAATATTTATCAATAAATATATATTAATATGCTGTTGTGTGCCATAGAATTGGAACCAAGCCATAGTTGACTCTTTAGTGGGTTTTCAGAGGCAGTTAATCACTTGAGAGGAGATTGCCCCTCTTTCTCCCATGGAGCAGTTGGTGGACTCAAACTGCATGCTACATTTATTTATCAATAAATAGGTAAATATTTATTGATAAATAAATCTGTGTTAATAAGTACAAAGTTAACTTGGCCACATAAGGACAAACACTGCATAAGCCAATTATTGTAAAAATAGAAGGATGATTAGAAAGATATGTGTGAAAATCCCAAAGGGGAAGGAGACAAGAGCAGAGGAGTAGACTGTAGGGAGGGGAAGAACTCACTAGGATGATGGAGGGTGGAGAGGAAGGAATTACAAAAGCTCCAATGGGGACCTGAAAAGACAGGGTCATAGTGGGCATAGAACAATGGTGATAAATTTTATAAAACACAATATATATATATGAATGATTTTATGAAACACAATGTGAATGAAAGAATGTGTTAAACACAATGTACATGAATGAAACACACTACACATGAATTTTGTATGAAAATATAAAAAATTGTTTTAACTTTGAAAAAATCAAGAAAAATGATTAAAGCTAAACTATATCATTTTGTTGGTGTCAGGTACTATTTTATATATTTGGAAGAAATTAATCCTCAGAAAAAGGGATTTTTAAACTATATATTTTAAATGTTATATATCTTTTCAATGTTACATGTTTTAGGATGGAGTTTTTAAAATTAGCTTACAGTTCTAAAGATTTTATCATATTTGTTAAGTATGTGTTTGTCACTTATTTAGACTATCAAAGGTTGCAATTTTCCAAATCATCTCTTTGTAACACTTTCCACTTAAATCATGTTTTCTGAAGATCTGTGATAACACTCCTAAAAAAAAAAATCCTGTTTTGGACCATTTTTATAGACCAGGGTTGGCCATTTTTTAAAAAATGGCCCTAACATATTTGAAGGGAATACTTCACATAAAAGTTTAAATTTGTGTTGCTAAATATTTTTCTGTAACTTTCTTTTCAATCCCAAGACTGGGTCTTTGCTCTCCACCTTCTTTGCTCTTTATAGTCTTACTTGCCAGAGATCTCTGGTTCCAGTAGAGGATGTTGACTTGCTTTTTGTTTTTCAGACCGGGGGAACTCAATGAGGAGCGTCAACCATACAGGGATAAGAGAGTTTGTTTTTCAAGGTTTCTCCAATTTTGGAGAGCATCAGCTCACACTCTTCGTGGTGTTCCTCACTCTGTACATGTTGACCATAGCAGGTAATGTCATAATTGTGACCATCATCCGGATTGACCATCATCTGCACACCCCCATGTACTTCTTCTTAAGTGTCCTTTCCACTTCAGAAACCTTCTACTCTTTGGTCATTATCCCTCGCATGCTTTCCAGCCTCATAGGCTTGAGTCAGTCCATCTCCCTGGAGGGCTGTGGGACTCAGCTCTTTTTCTTCCTTGGCTTTGCCATCACCAACTGTCTCCTGCTAGCAGTTATGGGTTATGATCGTTATGTGGCTATCTGTAACCCTCTTCGTTACTCAATCATCATGAATTGGAGGGTCTGCACCATACTGGCATCCTCGGTCTGTGCCACAGGATTCTCTCTTTCACTAGTTCAGGCAGTGGCTATTTTCAGACTACCCTTCTGTGACTCATTAATCGAACATTTCTTCTGTGATGTTCGCCCTGTACTGGATCTGGCTTGTGTTATTCCAATCATCAATGATATCTTTACCTTAATTATCAGCCTTCTGGCCATCACTGTCCCAGCCACTTTTATCTTCGTCTCTTACGTCCTCATCATTTCCACCATTGTCAAGATTGCCTCCGCTGAAGGCCGGAAGAAGACGTTCTCCACCTGTGCCTCCCACCTCACAGTGGTCATTATTCACTATGGCTGTGCCTCCATTGCTTACTTCAAGCCCAAATCAGAGAACACCAAAGACCAGGATCAGTTAATCTCAGTGACTTACACTGTTATAACTCCCTTGTTGAACCCTGTTGTGTACAGTCTGAGAAATAAAGAGGTTCAGGATGCACTACGCAGAGTGATGGGCCAGAAATCACTTTCATAAAGTGAAGAACTCTATCTAAATGATTGTGTTCAATCTTCCAGGTGGAAGATTATCGGAAAAGATATAGATCTAGGGTTTAATGTGGTGATTGGAGTTTCATGCATCACAAGCAGGGTGGGATGTAAAAGGGAAGCTGGGGGGCTAGGCACTAGTAATTGATTCACATTTTCTCAGTCTGTTTGCTCATATAATAAAATTACAGGTTACTTCATAGACCTAGAAATAGATATCTTACTGGCTGTACTCCAGGTAATGATTTTAAGTTCAAAGAGTAATCTAGTGTTCATCTTATGCTTAAGTACAAAATGACCCGTCCACTTTGCTGAAGTATAAACTTCAATAAAAACACCACTTAACTGAATCTCTTCTTAATATAAATTGGATACTTGGACAAGGGGTTATTAGAGAAGATATTATGAAGAAATCTAATTACCTCAAATTTTATCAAGATAAGCAAAGCAAAATTTAGATTTGGAATGCACTTTAAGCCTCCTAGAATGAATATTTTTCAAGCATCTTACTATTCATCATTTATGTGTGGATGAGGTCTCAAACAAAAAAGGGATTGGAGAAGGCTATGACTAATTGTGTGTAAAAGACCAGAAAGAAGCACGGACTCTTGCAATGAGGCAGCTCCTGTGAAGAAAAGGCCATGTAATAAAGAAGCTATGTGATAGAGTACGTGAAGAGGACCATGTGGAAAAGAAGAAAATATCTCCCCCATCAACAGAGCAAATAGCAGGGTCAGAGAAAAAGAAGGATACTCAGCGAGTTGATGTTTGGAAAAAACATGCTATGAAATTGGTTAACAGGGAACAAAAAATAGAAACAGACCAAAATTTGAACATCCCGTGATAGAGGGGTAGGGATATTAGGTAAATGGGGTGGGGGGTTATATTAAAAACCCCTTGTGACTCATAGCTGACCCTCCAGTGGAATTCCCAGCCTGTAAATTACACAGGAAGATAGTGTCCACCATTATCCCTCGGAGTTGAAGGTGGACTGTCAGAGAAGCACAGCCTTTGACTTAATAGTGCAATTCTCTATGGACTACACCACCAGAGCTCTCTAGAAAAATTAGAAGCAGACTTGTATTGAAGCCTTCTGGGATAAGAGGAAAGGGGAAGGCAGAAGGAAAGAGGAAAAAAAATATAGAAAACATCTTCTAATTGGTTCCTTTCCTTCACCTTACTATGTCAGGTCACATCGAGAAGGAATGAAATGAAAATATTAAAGAGGCAACATAACAACCCTGATAAATTAGGTGGTTTAATGACTTTTGAAAAGCTGAACATAAGTCAATAGTAAGGGATTTTGACATGAAACTTACATCAAATTGAAGCAAATGGGTTATAAAAGGAACAATAATAGACTATTTACATTTCTTCACCTCAAAAAAGTTTTAAAAAAAATGAATCTGAGTAAACATTAGAATTAATTTTTGAGAAAAATTTGTTGTTGTTGTTGTTAGCTGCCATTGAATTGAGTATGATTCATAACAGCACTCTGAATAACAGTTCTGAACACTGTCCTGTCCTATACTGTCCCAGCCTCACAGTCTGACAGGCAGATTGCTGCAGTTACTGTCTCAATCCACCTGGTTGAGGGTCTCCCTTCCTTTCCATTGTCCCTCCACCTTCCCAAGTATGTTCAAAGTATTCAAGATGAAGTTTCAGCATCCTCGCTTCCAAGGAGCGCTATGGTTGCACCTTCTTCAACACATATTTGTCCTCTTGGCAGCCCCTGAGATAGTCAGTACTCTTTTCTAACACTAAAGTTCAAAGGCATCAATTTGTCTTCAGCCTAGTTCTCAACAGCATAGCAAGTCATTGAAAAGACCATGGTCTTAATCAAGCTCACATTATTCCTCAAACTAAAATCATTGCTCCTCAGTAAGTTGGAGTGGTCCCTAACTACAGACTTCCCCAGTACTATGCATTTCTTGATCTCCTCGTGCCAAATATATTGAGTGTGGATACAAGATGAAGTCAGAGACAGTTACCGTATTTTCTCCATCTATTATGATATTACCTATTAAGCCAGTGGTGAGAATTTTTGTTTTTTTGAGACAAAGTAGGTATTGAATAAAACTCAAATTATTAGGAATTGTCATTATGGATACATTGTTGTTGTTGTTGTTGTTAGGTGCCCTCAAGTCAAGTGTGACTTATAGTGACCCTATGAACAAAAGACCTGAACCCTGTTCTATCCTGCACCATCCCCACACATCCTGACACACAAAAGCCCATTGCGTCAGTCACAACATCAATTCACTTGATTGAAGGCCTTCCTCTCCTTCGCCTTCCTCCTCCCTTCCCAGCATTATATCTCTCTCGAAGGAATAACCCTCTCTTAGCAACATGCCCTTTGAGCTGTGGTGTTGGATAAGAGCACTGAACATCCCATAGATGGCCAAGGATAAAGAGATAAGTCTTTAAGAGGGTGCAGGCAGAGCGCTCTTTGGAGTCAAGAATGTTGAGGTTTTGCTTCACATACTTTGGACGTGTTGCTAGGAGGTGCTATTTCTTGGAGACGGATATGACGCTAGGAAGGGCAGAGCTAGGAAGGGCAAAGGGTGGGCGAAGGAGAGGAAGGCTCTCAACCAGATGGATTGACATGGTGACTGCTCCAATGGGCTCTTGTGTGTAAGGAAGTGTGAGAATGGTGCAGGATAGAACAGCTTTCAGATCTTTTGTTCACAGAGTTGCTATGAGTCGTACTCAACTTGATGGCCCTAACAACAACTGCAAGCAACATACCCAAAGTATATATAGACAAAGCTATTGTACTGGAATATTTGTAAAAAAATTTGTAAATAATTGTAAAAAGAACGAGTTGAATGCACAACATTTTCACTGTAAAACAGAATTTCAAATGTACAAAGCAAGTGTATATTTTATAGGGTATGCAGATACATTCATAAAATGTAACTAAATTTTTTTGCAATTCTATCTACTTTCTAATTCTGAGCTCTCAATTTTGTCTGATAGAAAGAGTCATCTGTCCTTTTTTATGTTAACTCAGGCAATCATGAATCAAAACTCCTTTTATTAGTAAACACAATGGAATTAAAGGATCTGTACGTTCCATGTTTCCCCATTGTCCTTGGAGGTAAACTCCAATTTATGATCACTCCTACTGCCCGTGCTCGAGCTTATGTGTTGTATTTGTTGTTATTCATAAAGATGATTTTAGTCTTGACACATTCTTTGATCCATGATCTCAAATTACCCTGTATCTTCTTTGTGACCCTCTTGATACTACTATACATCCAATGACTCTCTCTTATTTGGACATTCACCTTCACCCTAGACCATGTAGCAAGAGAGCCCAAGACTGACTGCTTTTGAAGCATCTGCCTGTTTACCTCACTCATTCATTTTTGCTTTATCACTTGGAAACTACTCTGGATTTATGACTTCTCTAAGAAGTGAAGAGCATAAGGGGTATCAGTTTCAAAAGAACAATATATTGATGGAGGAACAGGAGTCCAGGCCCCTTCCTTAATGTCTTACAACTAACTCCAGTGCTCTATCTCCAGTCACTGTCTTTCCAACGCAGTGGGATGCCTTTCTTTTATTTTGGCAGAGCTTTGAATTCTTCCCAGCTCTGCAGTTTGCTATATATTTCACTTATTGGGCTTTTGCTATTCAGAATATTTCTTTCAAACTAAAAGAGGTTTCTCTTTCTAGAAAAGTTTGCAAGAGTTAGTAAACGGCTTTAGCCTTTAGGACAAATATTTCTGTTTTCAGAAATTTCATTGACTTCTTTTTTGTTGGCTTTTTTTTGGTGTGTGTGTGTGCATCCTTCCCTGAGGCAAATGAATGTCTTTGGAACAATGAGGAATAACAATAACAATTTTTAAAAGCAGAGATGTCTTATTATTATGCTCTCTTAATATTATCCAGTTACATTTTTTCTTATGGTTTATCTTTGTGGAAATTCAAAGAGCATGTATTTGTCATTTGGAACCTCCTCTTCTAAGAAAAACTCCTATGTTTTAAGTTGATTTATTTAAAAATGAAAATTCTATCCAGTAGTGGGTGAATCTCCATAAGAATAGAATTCTCACCTTTCCAAAGTGGAGAACATTTATATCAGCATCAGGTTCTTCCTACATGCTGGGTAAAGATTTTATATCTACATACACGGAAGTAACATATGGATAGAATGTGAAAATGGATGAATCAAATCATTAATATCACATGCAGAAAAATCTTGCTGTTGTTGTTGTTATGTGCCGTTGAGTCGGTTATGACTTATAGCGACCTTAT